CAGCTACTTGGGAGGCTGAGGCATGAGAATCACTTGAACCCAAGAGCTGGAGATTGCAGTGAGCCAAGATTGTGCCACTGCACTCCAGCCTCAGCAACAGAGCTAGATTCCATCTCAAAAAAAAAAAAAAAAAAAGAACGAGACTCCTACAACCACACTGCTTTTGGTCCCAGCTGTCTGGGACCAGCAGATGGCAGTGTAGTCTTCGGCATGTCACCTTACCTTTCCATGCCTCAGTTTGCCTCATTTGTAAACTGGAAGAAATGTTTAACTCAGAAAATGTTAGGATTCTTCTGTTGGTCTCCTCTTACCTTGCCAGGGGCTGTGCAGTTAGTTACTAGCAGTATAAAGACAAGTAAACTACAGCCTTTGCCATAGAGGAGCATGCCTTTAACCTAACCACAGTAGCTGATTTCTGGAAAACGTGCTCAGAAATGAAATTTTTGAGGCTTGGCATGGTGGCTCACGGGAGGCTGAGGCGGGCAGATCACTTAACGCCAGGAGTTTGAGACCAGCCTGGCCAACATGGTGAAACCCCATCTTTCTGAAACTACAAAACTTAGCCAGGTGTGGTGATGCTCGCCTGTAATTCCAGCTACTCGGGAGGCTGAGGCAGGAGAATTGCTTGAACCCAGGAGGCGGAGGTTGCAGTGAGCTGAGATCCCACTGTGTCCAGAGTTGGTTCCTTCCGGTGGGTTCGTGGTCTCACTGATTTCAAGAATGAAATGAAGCCGCGGAACTTTACAGTGAGGGTTACAGCTCTTAAAGGTGGTGCAGACCCAAAGAGTGAGCAACAGCAAGATTTATTGTGGAGAGCGAAAGAACAAAGCTCCCACAGGGTGAAAGGGGACCTGATCGGGTTGCTGCTGCTGGCTTGGGGGAGGTGGGGGAGGCAGCTTGTATTCCCTTGTCTCTGCCCATGCCCTGCTGATTGGTTCATTTTACAGAGTGCTGATTGGCCCATTTTACAGAGCCTGGCCAACATGGCGAAACCCCGTCTCTACTAAAAATACAAAAATGTGCTGGGCGTGGTGTCACGCTCCTGTATTCCCAGCTACTTGCGGGGGTTGAGGTGTAGGGGGCTTGAGCCTAGGAGGTTGAGGCCTCAGTGAGTCTAGATTGCGCCACTGCACTCCAGCCTGGGTGACAAAGTGAGACCCTGTCTCAAAATAAAATCACAGAGCTAAGTCCTGTATCAGAATGCAGTGTAATTCAATGAGAGAATAATAGGCTGATTCATCCTAATTATGACTTACGAAGCAGAGTGTGGGTGTGGCAAGCAGAGAAGGAATTAGGAGGAGCAAAGGCCCTGGGGCAGACAGGTAGGCAGGTCTCAAAAAGTTGAACCTAACAGTTACCAGAATGTAAGAGTTGCCATATTACTCAGCACTTCTGCTCCAAGCATGTACCTAAGAGAAATGAAAACATATCCCCATAAAACCTTGTATGTGAATTTTTTGTTTTTATTTATTTATTTTTATTTATTTATTTTTTTTGAGATGGAGTCTCACTCTGTTGCCCAGTCTGGAGTGCAGTGGCCTGATCTCGGCTCACTGCAAGCTCCGCCTCCTGGGTTTACATCATTCTCCTGCCTCAGCCTCCCAAGCAGCTGGGACTACAGGCGCCCACCACCTCGCCCGGCTAGTTTTTTGTATTTTTTAGTAGAGACGGGGTTTCACTGTTTTAGCCAAGATGGTCTCGATCTCCTGACTTCGTGATCCACTCGTCTCGGCCTCCCAAAGTTCTGGGATTACAGGCTTGAGCCACCGTGCCCGGCCTTATTTTTATTTTATTTTTTTATTTTTTTATTTTTTTTTTGAGACGGAGTCTCGCTGTGTCTCCCAGGCTGAAGTGCAGTGGCGTGATCTCGCCTCACTGCAAGCTCCGCCTCCCGGGTTCACGCCATTCTCCTGCCTCAGCCTCCCAAGTAGCTGAGACTACAGGCGCCCACCACCACGCCCGGCTAGTTTTTTGTATTTTTAGTAGAGACGGGGTTTCACCATGTTAGCCAGGATAGTCTCGATTTCCTGACCTCGTGATCCACCCGCCTCGGCCTCCCAAAGTGCTGGGATTACAGGCTTGAGCCACCGCGCCCGGCCTATTTTTATTTTTTTGAGACAGAGTCTCGCTCTGTCGCCCAGGCTGGAGTGTAATGGTGTGATTGCAGCTCACTGCAGTCTGACCTCCTAGACTCAATCGATTCTCCTGCCTCAGCCTCCTGAGTAGCTGAGACCACAGCTGTGTACCACCACACCCAGCTAATTTTTTTTTTTTTTTTTTTTGTAGATATGGGGTCTCACTATGTTTCCCAGGCTGGTCTCCAACTCCTGGGCTCAAGCAATCTGCCTGCTTCAGCCTCCTAGTGTGCTGGCATTACAGGCGTTAGCCACTGTGCCCAGCCCAACTTGTACATGAATTTTTTTTTTTTTTTTTTTGAGACAGAGTCTCGCTCTGTCGCCCAGGCTGGAGTGCAGTGGCACCATCGTGGCTCACTGCAAGCTCCGCCTCCCATGCCAACACCATTCTCCTGCCTCAGCCTCCTGAGTAGCTGGGACCACAGGCGCCCGCCACCACGCCCGGCTAATTTTTTGTATTTTTAGTAGAGACGGGGTTTCACTGTGTTAGCCAGGATGGTCTCGATCTTCTGACCTTGTGATCCGCCCGCCTCGACCTCCCAAAGTGCTGGGATTACAGGCGTGAGCCACCACGCCCGGCTGTACATGAATTTTTATAGCATCATTATTCATAATAGCCAAAAATGAAATGACTGAAATGCCCATTAACTGATGAATCAACAAAATGTATATCCAGACGAGTATTAACCAACCACAATAAGTAATGAAGTTCCGATACGGTTGAAAACGTAGATGAATCTTGAAAACATTATGCCAAGTTAAAGAAGCCAGTCATAGATGACCACATATTGTATGATTCCATTCCTATGAAGGGTCCACAATAGACAGGTCCATAGACACCGGGTGGCTTAAATAACAGAAATTTATTTTCTCACAGTTCTAGAGGCTAGAAGTTCAAGAACAAGGAATTGGCAGAGTTGGTTTCATTGTGAGGCCTTGCTCCTGCGCTTGTAGATAGCCATCTTCTCCCTGTGTCTTCACATACTTTTCTTCTATGTGACTGTGTCCTTTTTAAACATTTATTGTGGGCCAGGTGCAGGGGCTCACGCCTGTAATCTCAACACTTTGGGGGGCAGAGGTGGGCAGATCACGAGGTCAGGAGTTCCAGACCAGCCTGGCCAACATTGTGAAACCCCATCTCTACTAAAAATACAAAAATTAGCCAGGCGTGGTGGTGGGCACCTGTAATCCCAGCTACTCAGGAGGCTGAGGCAGGAGAATCACTTGAACCTGGGAGGAGAAGGTTGCAGTGAGCCAAGATGGTGCCACTGCACTCCAGCCTGGGCAACAGAGGGAAACTCTGTCTAAAAAACAAAAACAAAAACAAAAAACGTTGTTGTGGCCAGGCATGGTGGCTCACACCTATAACCCCAACACTTTGGGAGGTTCTGAGGCAGGTGGATCAACTGAGGTCAGGAGTTCGAGACCAGCCTGACTAACATGGTGAAACCCTGTCTCTACTAAATACAAAGAATTAGCCAGGCATGGTGATGCACACCTGTCGTCCCAGCTACTTGGGAGGCTGAGGCAGGAGAATCACTTGAACCCGGGAGGTAGAGGTCTCAGTGAACTGAGATTGTCCCTCTGCACTCCAGCCTAGGCAACAAGACCAAAACTCCATCTCAAAAATAAAATAATTTTTAAAAATAAAAATTTATTGTTTATTTATTTTTTGAGACAAGGTCTTGCTCTGTTGCTTGGGCTGGAGTGCAGTGGCGCAATCACAGCTCAGTGCAACCTCCACCTCCAGGAGTTCAAGACCAGCCTGAGCAACATGGTGAAACTCATCTCTACAAAAAACTAGCCGGGTGCAGTGATGCACACCTGTAGTCTCAGCTACCCAGGAGACTGAGGTGGGAGGGTCACTTGAGCCTAGGAGGTAGAGGTTGCAGTGAGCTGTGACTGCACCACTGCACTCCAACCTGGGTGACAGAGTGAGACCCTGTCTCAAAAGGGGCGGGGGGGATACCAGTCTTACTGGATGAGGTACCATGTGACTTCATTTTACCTTAATTACCCTTTAAAGACCCTGTCTTCAAAGACAGTCACATTTTGAGACAGTGTTAGGACTTAAACATATGCATTTGGTTGGGGGGGGACATGATTCAGCCATGTCAAGGTGGGGAATGGAGTGGTGTAACTGCTGCTGGGTGTGCGTCTCCTTTTTGGGGTGATTAAAATGTTCTGGAATTAGTGGTAATTAGTGTGCATCTTTGTGAGTATACTAAAAACGGCTGAATTGGCCAGCCGGAAAGGATGAACTTTGCGCTGGGGCAGGAAGAAGGCTGGCATGCAGAGAGAGGAGAAAGGGGGCTGGATGAGCTGGCCTGCTGGCTGGGGTCCCAGTACTACATAAGACCTTGCCCTTCTCCACAATATCTGGTGTTAAAGCTCATTATGGGGGCCCTTTCAACCCGGGGTTGGGATTGGAATTGAGACACTGAAACTTCAAGAGCTGGGCTCTGGCCCGGGTGGGCATTTGCCACCAAGCAAGATAGCCTCGTGCAGCACATACAGGGTTTCCTGTAGCGTGCACTGTCCTAAGTCCTTCTCAACTCTTTCATCATTGAGTTCTTATAGCGGTCCAGTGAGCTAGGTACCATTCCTCTCTTCAGGCCATGGTGCCGGGTCACTTGACTAGAGTCCCACTGGGAGTTCGAAGGAAGCCAGGCTAGAGCTCAGGCCTCTCACCAGCTGGAGGCCTTTCCCAGACTCTCTAAGGTGAGAGGCGCTGAATGGTGTCAGCCTGGGCCTGAATGAGTGACCCACGGTGCTCAGTGAATTTCAGGAACAGAGCCCGGGGAGGCTGCGGTGGGGGGTGTCTTGATGGGGGAGAAGCAGGGCTGGGCGCTCACCTGGCTTCCCCAGACCTGCAGGTCCAGCCTTGCTCTCCTTCCCCCGAGCACCTCTGGCCCAAGGCCTGCCCACTTGCTGGAGCTGGCCCCTTGGCGAGGCTGCTGGGAGGGCCCGTGCTGCCAGGGGGGTCAGAGTCAGTGTTGGAGGTGCCGCAGGGACGCCCAAGGGGGTGCCCAGGTGGCAAGATGCCTGTATGTTCAGGGAAGCCACGTCCCAGCTCGCGAGTGGGTGCACAGAGGCCCGCGTGACCTTGCTGCTGACATTCCTCAGAGGCCACGTGGCCCCAACTGGCAGGGACAGCTGTGGACAGGGACTGAACCAGCCTTGTTCCCAGGGTGGCGCCTGCTCTCCATCCAGGCCCCACTCCCGCTCCCACCCGATGCTGCTTTTGTTCCCAGGTTTCAGGGGGCAGCCGGCACTGTGATTCCTGTGCTATGAGTGCCTAGAGGCACGGAGCCACGAGGGGTCACCCCACGTGGGGCACAGGGCTTGGGGAGCATGGGGCAGGACCAGACCAAGCAGCAGATTGAGAAGGGGCTCCAGCTGTATCAGTCCAACCAGACAGAGAAAGCACTGCAGGTGTGGATGAAGGTGCTGGAGAAGAGCTCGGACCTCATGGGGCGCTTCCGCGTGCTGGGCTGCCTGGTCACGGCCCACTCAGAGATGGGCCGATACAAGGAGATGCTGAAGGTGGGTGTACCCGGCCTGGGGGCGTGCAAGGGTCAGGCTGGGGCTGGATGTCTCCCAGGCTCCCCAGTCCCTTCTCAGCCTCCTCGGGCTCCCCCGTGTCCCACAGGCTGGCAGCCGGGGCCTGAGGCTCTGAATTTATATCTAAGGCCGTGGCTCTTAGATGCTGAGTCTTGGCGTCAGATTCAGGCCTGTGGCCTTGAACTGCAGTGCCCGAGTCTCTGAGACTGAGGTTCTCTGGCCTCAGGGTCGAGTGTTCGTGGGTCTCAAGCCCAGTGTAGGTTTCAGCCTTCCTGTCTGGTGTTCTGTATCTGAGCCTGGCGGGGTGTGGGCTCCAGGGTTGAGGCTGGGGGTGGGTGGGTGGTGGAGATTCCAGATCTGAGGCTTGGGATAGAAGGTGAAGGCTGCGAGCCTGAGCTTGGGAGGTGAGGCTGGAGTGTAGGGAAGGTAGCTGAGGCTGGCGGGTAGAAGCTCTGGGTCTGAATATTTGGGATCTGCTGCTTTGGGTGTGAGGTTGGGGAGTGGGTATGGGGCCTCCAGGTCTGAGTCTGCAGTGCAGGCTGGGGTCCAAGGCTCAGAGTCCAGGCTGAGCACCACCTGCCCACCGTCGCGGTGTACAGTTCGCTGTGGTCCAGATCGACACGGCCCGGGAGCTGGAGGATGCCGACTTCCTCCTGGAGAGCTACCTGAACCTGGCCCGCAGCAACGAGAAGCTGTGCGAGTTTCACAAGACCATCTCCTACTGCAAGACCTGCCTTGGGCTGCCTGGTACCAGGGCAGGTGCCCAGCTCGGAGGCCAGGTCAGCCTGAGCATGGGCAATGCCTTCCTGGGCCTCAGCGTCTTCCAGAAGGCCCTGGAGAGCTTCGAGAAGGCCCTGCGCTACGCCCACAACAACGATGACGCCATGCTCGAGTGCCGCGTGTGCTGCAGCCTGGGCAGCTTCTATGCCCAGGTCAAGGTGGGCCTGCGCCCCAGGGGGACAGCAGTGGAGGGTTTGGGGCTCCCCTCTCATGAGGCACACACCCTGTAGCACTACCTCATTCAGCCCTCCTTTTAGGGAGGGCTGAGGCAAGTGAGAATCAGAGAGGGAAAAGGCTCTTCCAGGGAGGTAAAAACTTGGCCAGGAGGCCAGCAAGGGCAGAGCCAGGATTCAAACCTTGATCTGTCTGACTTCCTGGAGGAATAATGGGAGGCTCCTCTGTGAGGACAGGCCAGCGGCCTGCCCTACCATGTTTGCTGTGTGGTCTTGGGCAAGTCACCTCTCCTCTCTGAACCTTGGGAGAGATCTGTAAAATGAAGGAGAGTAGGACTCACCTTACAGTGGGGTTGTATGGAGTCAGTCACCAAATCTTTATTGAGCATCTACCATATCCCAAGACTGTTGGCCCAGGGTGTAGCAGTGAGTAGAACAGCCAAGTCCCCGTCCTCACCAGGGTTCCGTTCTAGTTGGGGAAGAAAGACGATCACCACAGTCAGGAAGTCAAGTGGTTAGGAGAAAGCGAAGTGGGCAAAGGGCTGGCAGCACTGGGTGTGGGGGTGTCATAATTTCAAACACGGTGGTCGGAGGGCCTCGCGGAGGTGATGTTTGATGGCTTGAAGAAGAGAGGGGGCGTCATGCAGAAATCTGGTGAGAGAACATTCTAGGCAAAAATGGGGGAACCCCTAAAAGCAAGCTGGACCCTGGGGAGGCACCCTGGAATGTTTCCTGGAATGTTCCAGGAAGGACAGAGGCCACCATGGCTGTCAGGTGTGTCTCAGGTCTGTGTGGAGGTAGAGAGGTGAGAGGAGGAGGGTCAGCTGTGAAGGAACTGATAGGGTCAGCGACTTCAGGTTCTAACCCTGGGTACTTTTTGTCGGGGGGTGGGGCAGGGGCGGAGTTTTGCTCTCGTTGCCCAGGCTGGAGTACGGTGGCGCCATCTCCGCTCACTGCAACCTCCGCCTCCCGGGTTCAAGCGATTCTCCTGCCGCAGCCTCCAAAGTAGCTGGGACTACAAGTGCATACCACCATGCCCGGCTAATTTTTGTGTTTTTAGTAGAAATGGCATTTCACCATGTTGGCCAGGTTGGTCTTGAACTCCTGACCTCAGGGATCCACCCGTCTTGGCCTCTCAAAGTGCTGGGATTACAGGCGTGAGCCACCACGCCCGGCCGACCCTGGGTATTTTTGTTCCCTTTCCACTCAGGTATCTGTGCCGTGCTTGGTCCATGGGGGATTTAATGCCTGGCCCCAGTCGATGCTTAATACATCTTGGAGTTAGTAAGTGGATAAATGCTGATGGATCCAAGCCGGGATGGGCGGAAATGAGTCACCAGGGATGACAGCCAGGACTTTGTTTTTCGGAAGCAGATGTAAGGGGGAGCCATTCAGTGAGACGAGATAGGACTAGGGCGGGACAGGGGTTTTTAAAAACCTTTTTAATTCTGAAGAAAAGTAAGCTGGGCGTGGTGGCTCACACTTGTAATCTCAGCACTTTGAGAGGCTGAGGGGTGAGGATCGCTCAAGACCAGGAGTTCCAGACCAGCCTCTACAAACAGTTTTTTTTTTTTTTAATTTGGCAAGGCTCATGCCTATAATCTGAGCACTTTGAGAGGCTAAGCAGGAGGATTGCTTGAGCCCAGGAATTTGAGAGCAGCTTGAGCAGCATAGCAAGACCCCAACTGCACAAAAGTTAAAAAATGAACCAGACATGGTGGCTCACACCTATAGTTTCAGCTGCTCAGGAGGCTGAGGCAGGAGGATCACTTGAGCCCAGGAGTTTCAGGCTGCAGTGAACCATGATTGCTCCACTGCACTCCAGTCTGGGCAACAGAGCAAGACCCTGTGTGAGAGGAAAAAAAAAACCACAAGTGTGGGCTTATGGGGTGCTCATTGCTAGTGGGATGTCCCTGCTTCTAAATCTTTTCAGTTACCAAAACAACTGAAGTTTATACTGATATTTCCAATTCAAATCTAATGTTTCAGGAGCTCCCCTTAACTTATTGTAAACTTGTCTTTTCTCTTAGATGAAAAATCTTAGTTTCTAACAACATAATTAAATATTTGCTTTACTCTACAAAATACATAAAATAATTCCAAAAGACAATACCAGTATAACTCTAGAAAATAAAGACAACTGAATGAAGTTTAAGATTTATTTGCTGTTCTTTTGGCTTTTTTTTTTCTTTGAGACACTCTTGCTCTGTCACCAGGATGGAGTGCAGTGGCTCGATCTCGGCTCACTGCAAGCGAGTTCTACCTCCCGGGTTCAAGCGATTCTCCTGGCTCAGCCTCCCAAGTAGCTGGGATTACAGGCGCATGCCACTACACTCAGCTAATTTTCTGTATTTTTAGTAGAGACGGGGTTTCACCATGTTGGCCAGGATGGTCTCAATCTCTTGACCTGGTAATCCGCCCACTTTGGCCTCCCAAAGTGCTGGGATTACAGGCTAGAACCACCATGCCCAGCCTTGTTTTTACAATAAATATATATCCCACTGTGGGTAAACTGAGTACTTTTGTTCTAAAGTCATTGAAATAATTTTTTTTTTAGAGACAGAGTCTTACTGTGTCGCCCAGGCTGGAGTGCAGTGGCACGATCTCGGCTCACTGCAAGCTCCGCCTCCCGGGTGGTCTCACGCCATTCTCCTGCCTCAGCCTCCTGAGTAGCTGGGACTACAGGTGCCCGCCACCATGCCCGGCTAATTTTGTGTGTGTGTGTGTGTGTGTGTATTTTTAGTAGAGACAGGTTTCACCGTTGTTAGCCAGGATGGTTCCTATATCCTGACCTCGTGATCCGCCCACCTCATCCTCCCAAAGTGCCGGGATTACAGGCGTGAGCCACCGCGCCCGGCCAAAATAATTATTTTGTGTGTGTGGTTGTAGTAATATGACACACGGTTAGGGACATTTATTTACTTTTTTTTTTGAGACAGAGTCTCACTCTGTTGCAGGCTGGAGCACAGTGGTGTGATCTCAGCTCACTGCAACCTCTGTCTCCCAGGTTCAAGTGATTCTCCTGCCTCAGCCTCCCAAGTAGCTGGGACTACAGGCACGTGCCACCACACCTGGCTAATTTTTTTGTATTTTAGTAGAAACAGGGTTTCACCATGTCAACCAGGATGGTCTCAATCTCCTGACCTTGTGATCCGCCCACCTCGGCCTCCCAAAGTACTAGAATTACAGGCGTGAACCACCGCGCCCAGCCCCAGTTTTTTTTTTTTTTTTTTTTTGAGACAGGGTCTTCCTCTGTCACCCAGGCTGGAGTGCAGTGGCTCAATCACGGTTCACTGTAACCTAAAATCCTGTGTTCAAGCGATCCTCCCTCCTCAACCTCCTGAGTAGCTGGGACTACAGGCACAATCTTCCACATCTGGCTAATTTTTAAATTTTTTGTAGAGATAATGGTCTTGCGATGTTGCCCAGGCTGATCTTGAACTCCTGGCCTCAAGCTGTTCTCCCAATTCAGCTTCCCCGAGTGCTGGGATTACAGACATAAGCCATTGCACCTGACCTCCATTTTCTATTTTTAGATATTTTTCAAATTCAATTTAATTTTTTTAACCTGTAAAACATTTATATGGCTTCAAATTTAAAAGTACCTAATAAGGCGTATTAGGAAAAGGTTTTTATTGGGGTTATTGACACTTCTCTTTTGGTCGTGTTAACTTGGAGCTGCTTGTTAAATATTAAGTGAAAGATCAAATAGATTTACCTTGAAAAAGAACAGTGAAATGGAGCTTTAGCTGAAGGGAAATGAGGTCAAGAGAAGGTGGGTTAGTTTTCTTTTTTTTTTTTTTTTTTTTTTTTTGAGACGGAGTCTCGCTTGTGGCCCAGGCTGGAGTACAGTGGTGCAACCTTGACCTCCTGTGCTCAAGTGATCCTTCCACCTCAGCCTCTTGAGTAGCCGGGACTACAGGGATGCACCACCATGCACAGCTGATTTTCTTTTTGTAGAGACGGGGTCTTGTTAAGTTGCCCAGGCCATTCTCAAACTCCTGTGCACAAGAGATCCTCGTATCTTGACCTCCCAAAGTGCTGGGATTCCAGGCCTGAGCCACTGTGCCTGGCCCAGTTTTTATTTTTTAAACGAGATGAGAAATGCCAGACATGTTTGCACGTGGATGGGAAAGATTCTGTAGAAAGAGAGAACCTGACGATGCAGAGACTGCTCATCGGGGGCTGGCATTTGATGGGAACAGGAGCCGTCCTCCACAGTGACAGGAAAGGAAGCAGGGAGCGTGGGAGCAGAGGTGCGGAGGTGGGAGATCTGGTGGAGACAGGAGGGGAAGGAGCTTCTCCCTGATTTTCTTCCTTTTCCTCTTGGAGCAATGAGGCCAGGTCATCAGCTGACCGTGGGCAGGTAGAAAAGGCATTTCGATGCTTGAGGAGAAAGTACAAGCCAATGGTTGCATCACCTCGCTGAATCTGTCTGATGTTCTTTGAGCCTGTTGTGCTGCCAGTCTGCCACTGAGCTTCAGTGAGCACCTGCTTCCGGGTGCCAGCAGGCAAGCTCTAGTGGGTGGAGGGACCTGGTATCTCCCGTCCCTGTGCATCTCTGAAGCTGAGGAGTCCGTTTGGCATTGGGAGAAAAGAGAAGCCGACTGTATTTTCTTGCCTTTTTATTCATTCACTCAGCAAATATTTATTGTGTATCCACCAAGTACCAAGAACTGTGCTAGGCTCTTGGGATGCATCACAGACCAGATGAGAATCCCTGAGTCCACGGAGCCCACACCTTTGCACTGGCTGTTCCCTCTACCTGGGCCACTCTTGTCCTGGATGCCACAATGAATGAGTAGACACTTGGGCCCCCCGCCCCTACCTGCTGTTAAAGAAGCCTGGCCCAGGAGCCCTCGACTTGGGGCAGCCTCTGCCACTCAGTTTGCCTCCTTCCATCCCACGTCCCCTGCAGGACTACGAGAAAGCCCTGTTCTTCCCCTGCAAAGCCGCAGAGCTCGTCAACGACTATGGCAAAGGCTGGAGCCTGAAGTACCGGGCCATGAGCCAGTACCACATGGCCGTGGCCTATCGCCTGCTGGGCCACCTGGGCAGTGCCATGGAGTGTTGCGAGGTGGGGCAGCGGGGAAGGGGGCAGGTGGGTGATGAGGTGGTGTGGGCCAGGGACTGGGGCCTGGGACAGCAGAGCCTCCTTCTTCCAAACCAGCCCCCGGAGGCCCCCCAGGGCTTGCCCCTGGCCCACCCTCTCTACAGCTGAGCCCCGAAGGAAACATTTGTCCCCTAGCCTCATCCCAAACCCCACTCCCTTCCAATCCATCTGCAGGGGAGGGGGCGTCCTTCTGTCCCCAACACCCTATATGGGGTACTTTGAAGGGTAGAGATGGTACAGGGCCAGTTTCTGGAGTCCCACTGACCTGGGTTCACATCCCAGCTTTGTCACTTACCGGGTGACCCCAATCAAGTCACTTCTCTATGAGCCTCACTTTCCACCCACCTTGCTGGGTGCTGTGACTTCAGTGGTTCGGCCTGTGAGGCCTCAGCACCATGATAGATTTGCTAGGCTCTGAGGATGTTGCTTCCCTGGGCTGTCCCTTCAGAGGGGCCCGTTGAGGGGAGGGCACTCCAGTGGCGGTGGCAGAGGAGCAGGCCTGAGCCACTGGCCTCCCTCGCAGGAGTCTATGAAGATCGCACTGCAGCATGGGGACCGGCCACTGCAGGCTCTCTGCCTACTTTGCTTCGCTGACATCCACCGGAGCCGTGGGGACCTGGAGGTGAGGTCACCGGGATGCAGGGGCTGGGGGCGGGGGACTGGGGCACAGGCCTGATGCCGTCTGATTCCATCCCCCACCTGGCTCTGCAGACAGCCTTCCCCAGGTATGACTCCGCCATGAGCATCATGACCGAGATTGGAAACCGCCTGGGGCAAGTGCAGGCGCTGCTGGGTGTGGCCAAGTGCTGGGTAGCCAGAAAGACGCTGGACAAGGTGAGGTCGGGCCTTTCCCACACCCTTCAGCCCTCCCAGCGCTCCTTACTTGGGGCCAGTAGGTCGGCTGGCTCTTTCAGCCACTTCGTCTGACATCAGCCTCACTCTGATCCTACGAGGCCAGGACATTCCTGGTCATTTTCTGGGCTCAGAGAAGGCCCATCGCTTGCCCTGGGACCCACAGCTAGTAAAGGCCTGGAGCTGGGGTTGGAACCCAGGCTGCTGGGTAAACTGAGGCAGGAGGTCACTTGCCCACACAGCCCCTATGACTATGCCCTAGGCCCTTCCTGCTGCCTTCACACACAGGGCAGCTGCCATGTCACCCTCCCCAGGCCTGCCCCCCACCCCGTGCTTCCCTGTGAGCAAGGCCTGTCAGACAGCTCTGCCCGCAGCCCTGGCCTGTGCTCACCTTCCAGGCTCTGGACGTCATCGAGAGAGCCCAGGATCTGGCTGAGGAGGTGGGGAACAAGGTCAGACTTGATTCTGTGTCCTGGGTCTGGGGTCAGGGGCCCAAGTGGGGGACTTGGGTCTGGGGAAAGGCCTTCCTGAGCCCGTTCCCATCATGAGCACTTCCTGATCCTGGGAGCTGCCTGCAGCCAACCCCATACCCTGGCTCTCTCTCTGCCACACAGAGAGCACTCCTGAGGGCAGGGCAGGAGTTTCATAGCTTGGAGCATAGCAGAATTCCTCAGAAGCTTCCTGCTGTTGATTAAAACTCCTAACAGTGGACTGGACACGGTGGCTAACATCTATAATCCTAGCATTTTGGGAGGCTGAGGTGGGAGGATCACTTGAGCCCAGAAGTTTGAGAGCAGCCTGGGCCACATAGTGAGACCCACTCTCAAAAAAAAAAAAATTGTTTTTGAGATGGAGTTTCACTCTTGTCTCAGGCTGGAGTGCAATAGCACGATCCCAGCTTACTGCAACATCTGCCTCCCAGGTTCAAGTGATTCTCCTGCCTCAGCCTCCTGAGTAGCTGGGATTATAGGCACCCGCCACCACACCCAGCTAATGTTTGTATTTTTAAGTAGAGATGGGAATTCACTGTGTTGGCTAGGCTGGTGTTGAACTCCTGGCCTCAGGTGATCCACCTGCCTCGGCCTCCCAAAGCACTGGGATTACAGGCATGAGCCACGGCGCCCTGCCGCAAAGTATTACGGAGTCTGTGCACCAGGTTTGGTCATAAAATCTTTCAAAAACATGGGGTCTGGCCGGGCGCGGTGGCTCAAGCCTGTAATCCCAGCACTTTGGGAGGCCGAGGTGGGTGGATCACGAGGTCAGGAGATCGAGACCATCCTGGCTAACATGGTGAAACCCCATCTCTACTAAAAATACAAAAAACTAGCCGGGCATGGTGGCGGGCGCCTGTAGTCCCAGCTACTCGGAGGCTGAGGCGGGAGAAAGGTGTGAACCCGGGAGGTAGAGCTTGCAGTGAGCCGAGATCGCGCCACAGCACTCCAGCCTGGGCGACAGAGCGAGACTCCGTCTCAAAAAAAAAAAAAAAAAAAAAAAAAACATGGGGTCTCCAGGCAGTTCTGGGGGGTGAAGACCTCTGATCTCTCCCACCCCCTCATTCTGCATGAAAGGAAGCAAGGTCCCAGAGAGGGCAGGACGTTTTCCCGAGGTCCATCAGGAAGACAGGGAAGTGGCTGAGACTGGAGCCTGCCTGCACTGACTTTGCTCTCATCCCCCACTGCCACTCTCCACTCCCGCGGGCCCCAGCTGAGCCAGCTCAAGCTGCACTGTCTGAGCGAGAGCATTTACCGCAGCAAAGGGCTGCAGCGGGAACTGCGGGCGCATGTCGTGAGGTTCCACGAGTGTGTGGAGGAGACGGAGCTCTACTGCGGCCTGTGTGGCGAGTCCATAGGCGAGAAGAACAGCCGGCTGCAGGCCCTGCCCTGCTCCCACATCTTCCACCTCAGGTGGGGACTCCTGCGGGGGGTGGACGGGGTGGGCATGGTCTCTGCGGGGCACTGTAGGGCCCAGCTGGCCTAATCACAGCAATAATACTAATAGCAAACACTTTTTTTTATTTTGAGACGGAGTCTCGCTCTGTTGCTCAGGCTGGAGTGCAGTGGCCGGATCTCAGCTCACTGCAAGCTCCGCCTCCCGGGTTTACGCCATTCTCCTGCCTCAGCCTCCCGAGTAGCTGGGACTACCGGCGCCCGCCACCACGCCCAGCTAGTTTTTTCTATATTTTTAGTAGAGACGGGGTTTCACCGTGTTAGCCAGGATGGTCTCGATCTCCTGACCTCGTGATCTGCCCGTCTCGGCTTCCCAAAGTGCTGGAATTACAGGCTTGAGCCACCGCGCCTGGCCAATAGCAAACACTTAACCTTGGCCAGGCGTTTTGGCTCACCTCTGTCTTGCCAACACTTTGGGAGGCCAAGGTGGGCAGATCACTTGAGCCCAGGAGTTCAAGATCATCCTGGCCAACATGGTGAAACCCCGTCTCTACTAAAAATACAAAAATTACCCAGGCATGGTGGTGGGAGCCTGTAATCCCAGCTACTCAGGAGGCTGAGGCAGGAGAATCACTTGAACCTGGGAGGCAGAGGCTGCAGTGAGCTGAGATCTGTGGTCATTCTTATCATAATCCCCAAAGAGAAGTCAGAGAGGCCCCTCAAAGGTCATTAGGTCAGACATCCAGGCCAGACCTGCCCTGGGTATGGCTCCATCCCATCCTCTGAACTCCCAGCCCATGCTCTGCCCTGGAGGTCCCTGGGGCAGAGGAGGAGAGGGGCAAGCAGGGTGCAGTGGGAGCCTGCCCCATTCCCTTCCCTTCCACTGCTGCTGAACAGCCACCAGGATGTGTCCCAGCCCCTGCAGAGGGCAGGCAAGGAAGGAAGAGAGGACCCAGGGCCCGGAGGGAAGGACAGGCCTTGGGAGTGGACAGGGCCCTTTGCCTCCCCAGGTGCCTGCAAAACAACGGGACCCGGAGCTGTCCCAACTGCCGCCGCTCATCCATGAAGCCTGGCTTTGTGTGACTCCCGGCAGCAGGTGTGGGCTTCCTCCTCGCCGCTCCTGCTCCTTCTCCACTGCACACTGGAGACCCATTTACTCCTGGGGCAGCTGCCAGCATGTCGTCACCACAGCCAGGGCCTTGGGACCTGCCCACGGCTGCTCCCCTGGGCCCAGCTCCCCTCCCTGCCTCTTTGTACTTTGCTCTTCATAGAAAAATAAACCGTTTGTACCTGGTCCCAGGGATTCCGACTTTCCATGCCCAAGGTCTGAGGAGTGGGGAGAGTGGGAGTGAGGCTCCCCATGGGAGCTTCCTCAGACGCAAGCGTTTCCTCTGCACATGGGTACAAGGGCCTCCAGCTGTCCCTCCAGGAACCTGGGATGCCACAGAGACACGATCCCTGCAGTGAGAAGCTGACATGCAGAGGGTGGGAGGGTATATGATAAACAGGAAACACGCAGTTTGGAAAGCCTGGTGGGAAGCTGCTATAGACGAATCATGTCCCTCCACATTCCCGTGTTTGAAGCCTTAGTCCATTTGGGCTGTTGTAACGAAACAGACTGGGTGGCTTGTAAACAACAGGAACTGATGTCTCACAGTTCTGGAGGCTGGGAAGTCCAAGATCAAGTCACCTGTAGATTGGGTGTCTGGTGAGGGTGCACGTTCTTGTTCACAAATGGAATCTTCTTGCTGTGTTCCTGCGTGGTGGAAGGGACAAGCAAGTTGTCTGCATTGCATTGCTTTTTTTTTTTTTTTTTGGGACAGGGTCTCACTCTGTCACACAGGCTGTAGTGCGGTGGCGAGATCTCAGCTCACTGCAACCTCCGCCTCCTGGGTTCAGGCAGTTCTTCTGCCTCAGCCTCCCGAATAGCTGAGATTACAGGTACGCATCAACACGCCTGGCTAATTTTTGTGTTTTTAGTAGAGATGGGGTTTCGCCAAGTTGACCAGGCTGGTCTCTAACTCCTGACCTCAAAGATCCACCTGTCTTGGCCCCCAAAGTGCTGGGATTACAGGCGAAAACCACCATGCTAGGTGCAGTCCCTTAATAAGGGCACTAATCCCATTTATAAGGGCTCCACCCTCATGACCTAATTGCCTCCCAAAGGCCCCACCTGCCTGATATGACAGTCCTAGCAGACTCATATAAAGTGATAAGTTCTTTGGAACAATAAAGAGTAGAGCCTGGTCGTGTGCAGTGGCTCCTGATTGTAATCCCAGCACTTTGAGAGGCCGAGGTGGGTGGGTCACTTGAGCCCAGGAGTTCAAGACCAACCTGGACAACACTGCAAAACCCTGTCTCTAGAAAAAAAAAAAAATACAAAAATTAGTCAGCATGGTGGCACACACCTGTAGTCCCAGCTACTTGGGAGGATGAAGCAGGAGATTCTTTTGAACCTGGGAGGCGGAGGTTGCAGTGAGTCGAGATCATACTACTGCACTTCAGCCTGGGGGACGGAGCAATACTCTGTCTCAAAAAAAATAAGAGTAGCCGGGCACGGTGGCTCACGCCTGTAATCCCAGCACTTTGGGAGGCTGAGGCGGGCGGATCACAAGGTCAGGAGATCGAGACCACGGTGAAACCCCGTTTCTACTAAAAATACAAAAAATTAGCCGGGCGCGGTGGCGGGCGCCTGTAGTCCCAGCTACTCAGGAGGCTGAGACAGGAGAATGGCATGAACCCGGGAGGCGGAGCTTGCAGTGAGCCGAGATTGTGCAACTGCACTCCAGCCTGGGCGACAGAGCGAGACTCTGTCTCAAAAAAAAAAAAAAAGGCCGGGCACGGTGGCTCAAGCCTGTAATCCCAGCACTTTGGGAGGCCGAGACGGGCAGATCACGAGGTCGGGAGATCGAGACCATCCTGGCTAACACGGTGAAACCCCGTCTCTACTAAAAAAATACAAAAAACTAGCCGGGCGAGGTGGTGGGCGCCTGTAGTCCCAGCTACTCGGGAGGCTGAGGCAGGAGAATGGCGTGAACCCGGGAGGCGGAGCTTGCAGTGAGCTGAGATCCGGCCACTGCACTCCAGCCTGGGCGACAGAGCAAGACTCTGTCTCAAAAAAATAAAAATAAAAATAAAAATAAATAAGAGTAGAGGTTAGGGGCAGTGGCTCACGCCTGTAATCCCAGCACTTTGGGAGGCCGAGGGGGGCGGTTGGATCACCTGAGGTCAGGAGTTCGAGACCAGCCTGACCAACATGGTGAAACCCTGCCTCTACTAAAAATAGAAACATTAGCTGGGCGTGGTGGTAGGCACCTGTAATCCCAGCTGCTAGGGAGGCTGAAGCAGGAGAATCACTTGATCCGGGGAGGCGGAGGTTGCGGTGAGCTGAGATTATGCCATTGCACTCCAGCCTGGGCGACACAGCGAGACTCCATCTCAAAAAAGAAAAGAATAGAGCCTGGTCCCTCTTCCTCATGTTCATCCCCTTCCCTAAACCAGTCTTAAAACCATTAAGTGGGACAGAGCAAGACAAGTATCTGTGTGGAGGGGTGACCTGGTGTGAGGTGTTGGGAGTCTAAGCAGGCTGAAGAGTGTCCACACAGGGGAAGGCCTGGGGTGAGAGGTCAGAACCTGTGTGGAGAGAGGACGGAATCCACACATGGGGTTGGGTTGTTTTGAAGTGTCAGAGACCGAGCCCAAGGCGGGACAGCCTGATGTGGGCCACTGGGACCTCACCAGGGCAAAGAGGCATCCAAATTGGTGAAGGTTTGTGTGAGGCATCAGAGCTTGAGTAGAGCGAATAGGCCATGCACATGATTTGGGGCATCCTGGCAGGGGCATTAGGTCCAGGATGGAGTGAAGAGGGTTCTGTGTGTGGAAGGGAGTGGCAGTGGAACACTGGGTACACAGAGGGGGTAGATCAAACAAGTAAGTAGGTTGTGTGCAGTGGCTCACAGTCTATAATCCCAGCACCCTGGGAGGCCAAGGCAGGTGGATCACTTGAGGTCAGGAGTTTGAGAGCAGCCTGGCCAACATGGTGAAACCCCATCTCTACTGAAAATACAAATAAATTAGCCGGGCATGGTGGCGGGCACCTGTAGTCCCAGCTACTGGGGAGGCTGAAGCAGGAGAATGGTGTGAACCTGGGAAGTGGAGCTTTCAGTGAGCCGAGATCACGCCACTGTACTCCAGCCTGGGTGACAGAGCAAGACTCTGTCTCAAAAAAGAAAAAAATTAGCTGGACGTGGTGGTGCACACTTGTAATCCTAGCTACTTGGGAGGCCGAGGCAGGAGAATCCCTTGAGCCCAGGAGGTGGAGGTTGCAATGAGCTGAGATCACACCACTGCACTCCAGCCTGGGCAACAAGAGTGAGACTCCATCTCCAAAAAAAAAAAAAAAAAAGTAAGTAGATTAAGGACAGTGGAAGGCAGCTTTCTCACTTTTTTTTTTTATGGTGTCTCGCTTTGTCACCCAGGCTGGAGTGCAATGCCTCCATCTTGGCTCACTGCAACCTCTGCCTCCTGGGTTGAAGCGATTCTCCTGCCTCAGCCTCCCGAGTAGCTGGGACTACAGGTGCCCACCACCATGCCAGCTAATTTTTTGCATTTTTAGTAGAGACAGGGTTTCACTGTGTTAGCCAGGATGGTCTTGATCTCCTGACCTCATGATCTGCCTGCCTCAGCCTCCAAATGTGCTGGGATTACAGATGTGAGCCACTGTGCCCGGCTGCTTTCTCACTGTTGAAGGAGAGAATTACAAATATGGAAAGGGAGAGAACCAGAGTGGGCCCTGTGGTGTTGAATTGGAATTGTAGGAATCAGTGTGAACTCATGGACTTCAAAATATACAGGTAGACCTAGAAATAAATATAGTTATAAATGTATGTGTGTCCACTAGCCTGGGCGCAGTGATATGCCAACAGCAATGAGCTCACCCAGCACCCAGGGCTTGGCTTCTAAACACCGCATTTCACTACAAGGAACCAAGGCTCTTTAGTTAAGGGCCTGATTCCAGGGCTGGGTCATGGAGAGTATAAGATGAGCCACAGCTATTTTGTGCCAGAAAGCAAGGGGAGTTGAAAGAATGATGAGGAAAAGTCAAAGGACACAGGAGCCAACTTGGATGGGCTCCCAGTGGCCACTGATAATGAGTAACAATGATTGTCTCAGCTCAGGCTGCCATAACAAGGCACCTTAGGATGAGTAGCTTAAACAACTAAAACTTATAGTTCTGGAGACTGGAAATCCAAGATCGAGGTGCCAGAAAATTCAAGAAGCCTCTCTTCCTGACTTGCCCTTCTCTGTGTTCTTACATGACTTTCCCCCTGTGCTCCTGTGGTGACAGCAAGACCCAGCTCTCTCTCTCTCTCTCTTTTTATTTTATGGATTTATTTATTTTTGAGACAGAGTCTCACTCTGTTTCCCAGGCTGGAGTGCAGTGGCGTGATCTTGGCTCACTGCCTCAGCCTCCTGAGTAGCCAGGATTACAGGTATGTGCCACCAGTCCCGGCTAATTTTTGTATTTTTAGTAGAGACAGGGTTTCACCATGTTGGTCAGGCTGGTCATGAAGTCCTGGACTCAAGTGATCCGTCTGCCTCAGCCTCCCAAACTGCTGGGATTACAGGCACGTGTCACCACACCCAGCTAATTTTTGTATTTTTAGTAGAGACAGGATTTGGCCATGCTGGCCAGGCTGGTCTCGAACACCTGACCTCAGGTGATCTGTCTCCCCACCCTGTCTCTTTCCCTCCCTCCCTGTGTCTTCCTCTTCCTATAAAGGCACTGATTGGCTGGATGTGGTGGCTCGTGCCTGTAACTCCAGTACTTTGGGAGGTGGAGGCAGGCAAATCACTTGAGGTCAGGAGTTTGAGACCAGCCTGGGCAACACGGTGAAACCCCGTCTCTACTAAAAATACAAAACTTAGCTGGGTGTGATGGTGCACATCTGTAATCCCAACTAGTCAGGAGGCTGAGGTGGGAGGATCACTTGAGCCCAGGAGGCAGAGACTGCAATGAGCTGAAATGGCACCACTGCACTCCAGCCTGGGCCATGGAGTGAGACCCTGTCAAAAAAAAAAAAAAAGCTAGGCCTCATTGAGAAGGTGGCATGTGAGTGAAACCTTGAAGGAGGTGAGAGACTGAACTAAGCAGATTTCCTGGAAAGAGCGTTCTCTTAGAGAACAGAATCCAAGACAGGAGCTTGCCTGATGTGCTCAGGAGCAGCAGGGAGACCTGTAAGTGAGCAGGAGGGAAGGAGGAGAAGTAGAGGCCGGAAGGAGAGTGTGGTGTGA